TCCAACTTTTCCAAGTGTCATGAAGGAACTAAAGGAATTGGGTCTCCACTTGACCAAAATATGATAGTCAGAGCCTAGTCATTACAGTAGTACTTTGGATGAAAATCTGGCCTTGTTTTGTTTTGTGATCCATTATATCCTTAAAGGTCTTCTACAACACCAAAATTCAAATGTGTCAGGACCCACTTCAATACCTCATCCCAAGAAAGCAGAACTCATGAAGCAAGCTCTTCCAAAAGGAACTTTTATTAGGAGAAGCTGATAGCAGGCATACTAGACAGGATCTGAGGGGCTCCCGTACAGATCGATAGGTTAAAGTGTCCCCAAGCAAACCCCACCCCGTAGTTCATCCAGACGGTTCAAACAGGCCAGTCCCCAGGTTTTAAGTCCATTGTGGGAAAGGGGAGATAACATCAGGCCGGCTCTGGTCGGAGCAGTGATATTTAGATGACTCTTCACACCTTCTCCTGAGAGCAGAAAGAGCCAGTTTCCGGAGGTTGTATTTCTTTCTTCCTCTCCCTTTGCTAGTTTAGGGAGAAGAAAGTACAGAGAGAAATAGTGCAGGAGAGCGAAGTGTTACATTGTAGCAATAGAGAAAGAATGCAGGAAAGCAAAGTGTTACATTGTAGCGATAGAGGAAACTAAGGCAATAAACCTGCAATCCTTCCCCCCCTCCCCTCTAGGAGTATGGCAGAACCCAGGGAGAGAAGAGAATGGAATTTGGGAGAGAGAAAGAGAGCAAGGGAAGTATGAAATCGGATAGATATGGGTTCTGACAAAATGTTTTGAAGTTTTTTCATTTCTGCTTCTTCCAGATCAAACTGTTGCAGTTATAGAGTTATAGGAAAAATTATTGCCGCAACAATTATAATTTTTTTGGGTGTAGACCAGGGACGTCAAACTCAATTTCACTGAGGGCCACATCAGCATTGAGGTTGCCCTCGGGGGCCGGGTGGGTGTGGCCAGGGTGGGTGCGGCCTACTGGGTGGGCATGGATCGAGTGGGTGTCGCCTACTGGGTGGGCATGGCCAGCTCTACATTGTTCGCGTCAAGGGTGCCTGTTGGGGCCTGGGCAGGAGTGGGACAGATTTGAGGGTCTCTGGCAGAAGGGGGTGGGACTGGGGCAAGTGCCAAGGCATGATCCACTGGACAAGCCTCACTGTTCCTCTCAGGCCATGGGGGGGGGGCCTGGATGGTGGTATGGGTTGCCCGGAGCCCTGGGCAGCACAGGTCAAATGCCCAGCCTGGCCCTTGAGCACCCGTGGCACCAAGCCTAGCCCCACTTCCCTAAGGGGGCGCCCAGTTGCGCTTACCTCCTCCTCAAGGCTGCTGCTGCTGTGCTTGCTTTCCTTAGCCAGGTTGCTCATGATGGGTACAAGGGCAAAGTCAGAGGGAGGCCTATTCCCTCTCCATGAGAGGAGACCCGGCTTTGTATCCAAAGCTTCCTTAGCAATAGGATGGGAGACCCCCAGATAGACCAAGAGGAGAGGGCAAGGGGATGGTGAAAGGGCAGCAGGGCAGGACTAAGGTAGGACTTCCCTCAGACCCTCCCTCTCCTCCTTTCCTTCTTTCTTTCCTTCTTTCCTAAGTACAGAGTGGTGGGAAAATATCTGAGATGAGGGAGGGAGAAAAACAGGCAAGAAATGCAGCTGGGGAGGTGTCACTCTTTGTGAGGAATGAAGAAATGCACCATCGCCTGGAAGTGGCCAGCACATGGCCCTCACCTACTTCACATACCTGGCTTGGTGGGCTCTGGGGGAGGGGGTGCTATGAGCAGCGTGAGAGTCAATGTTACCTGCGCAATGCTGCCCAGCTCCAGCCTACCTGGTCTCAGCAGGCAGCGGGCCTTTTCCTCACAGCGCCAAGAGGCTGAACCAGGCAGTGCAAATCCAAAAAGAAGCGCGATGCCGCCCAGCCTCCAGCCTGCTCGATTTTGGCAGGCAGCAGGACGCTCTCCTCACATTGCCGAGAGGTTGAACCAGGCAGTGCAAAGCTCATCAGCTTTGCACCTTGCTGCCTGCTGAAACTGGGTAGGCTGGGGGCTGGGCAGCGTCTTGCTTCTTTTTGGATTTCCGCCGCTTGGCTCAGCCTCTTGGCCCGGTGAGGACAGTGCCCTGCTCCTGCCGAAACCCCTCCCCCGGAGCCCATCAGGCCGGATATGTGAACTAAGCGAGGGCCATTTGCTGGCCACTTCCAGGCGATGGTGCATTTCTTCATTCCTGACAAAGCATGCACCCAGGAGGTGGGCCTGACACGGCAGGGGCTGGTTCCTCGCTGTTTCTAGACAGCATTGTGGAGCTAAAACTGAATGTGTTTCAGCATAGATGGCCACCACAAAATTGTACATTGGCTCCCGGCCGGCCTGGGCCAGGGCCAAGGCAGCGGGGGCCGTTCCTTCACTGTTTCCAATATGGCTTCGTGGGCCACATGAAACCACTTTGGGGGCCACATCTGGCCCGCGGGCCTTGTGTTTGACATGTCTGGTGTAGACCAACACACATATTAGGTCATTTCAAACTTATGTTGATAAAATATCAAATCACATTTTTGTTAAAATAGCAAATGATTCTCATTAATCTCATTAAGGCTCTCATTAATGGGAGAATTACTGAAATGAATAGTATTTTGAGAACTGTGTTATAGTTTCATCTAAAGTCAACTCTAGTTTCTCTTAGGTCCACTAGTTCAAAGAATTACCTGTCTCTAAATTGGAATAAAGTTAATAGTGTTAATATTCAGGTAGCGTTATTCCAGAAAGGAAATTAATTATATTTTTCTTCTGATTTGCATCAGATTCTTTTGTTTTTGTTGTTCTTGTCTGGGGCATTATGTAAAGGTTCTTTCTGTTTGCATTATATTGAATCTTCCTTTTTCTAACTCTTCTGAGTTTCCAGTTTAAATGTTTTGCATATCTGTTCACTATTTATATCTTCCTTTTTATGTCTTTGCTATTGTTTGCCATAAAAGTATACAACTGTTATCTGTTTATATATGACTTATCTTATATATACATTTTTATACAGCTTCTGTCTAGATAAGAAAGACTAACATTAACTATTTAAAAAATCCATGCAGTTAGTCCTTGACTTAGGACTAGTCGGTTAACAAACATTCGAAGCTACAGCGGACCTTCCCAGGCCCACTTATAACCCAGATTTGAAGTTCCAATGGCTGCCCCTCCCCAGTCCCATGATCACATTTTGGGTGTTTGGTAACTGGCCAGCATTTACAGCTGTTTGCATGAAATACGTGATTCTGTATTTATGACTCTTTTTTTGCTAGAAACCAGCATTTACTCCCAGTTTCCGGCGAACAATGCCTATTGATTTGCTTAATGACTGCAGCATTTGCTTAACAAATCCATCAAAAAAGGTTGTAAAATCAGATGTGGTCAGCACGATTTAAAACCATAATTCTGGGCTCAATTACAGTTGTAACTTAACAACTGCAGTGATTCATTAACAACTGTGGCTAAAAAGGTCGTGAAATGGGGCAAAAGTCACAACAGCTGTCTTGCTATCAGAAATGTTGGGCCTAATTGTGGTCATAAGTTGAGGATTACCTGTATTCACTTTTATTTGAAATTGCTATTTAGAAAAGTTCTATTGCAGGTATTTCAAACTGCTGGCCCACGGGCCGGATGCATCATATTGAAACCCCGCCCACCTCATTGCTGGCAATGGAGAAAAAGTCGCAATACATTGTGCAATGTCATGTGACGTCACAAGTTTGACATGCCTGTTCTATTGGGAAAAAGAGTCTTGGAGACTTGACAATCTACTAGTTAGATTGTTATTCATTATACTGGAATAATCAAGCTTCCTGGAATCTTACAGCCTAGTAGCTTTATTAAATCAGGAATTCAAAGTTCCTATAATATCTCTTGCTTAAAGGAATTCTTTTTTATTATTACTTATACAGTAGTTAATTGATTAGTTTTTACATATGGTACATTCTGATTGTAATAAAACCAAAATTATGGTCTTTCCATACCTACCTTAACTAAGTATGCAAGCTAACATACTTAGTTAATCCATGGAGAGCAGAGCAATGCCATCTCTTTAAACACTTATTTATACATTTCCAGAAATTGTTATCCTGGATAGTACATCTTATTACAACTTTAATAACTGTAAGACACTAAATGGACATTAATGCTAAAGGTTTATCTCAGAGTAAGATTCAGTTAACTCTGTATTAAAAAAATTTCATGGCAAAGCAGTGTCACAGCTTTTATATGGGGCATAGATTTAGTTATGGATTGACAATACCGTTTACCCACATAGATATATCCCATAAATTACAATTTTTTAAAGAAAATCCTCTGTCTTCCATAGTTCATCCAGGCACACAATCTCTGCCAGAGGCATCTAAACGTTCTAGCATATTTTAGGACAATTGCTAGCTTCCCATTATTTAATTTTGGTATAAACTTCCCTAGGAAAGGAAATTGGCTGAAAAACAATTGTTCACATTCGAGTCTCCAGTAAACTTATATGTCCAAACAATGCCCTCGTGTGAATTTTGAAGGCAGATTCCAGATACTGTCCAAAGTATTGTCAGAAATAGAGAAAGGACATTTAACATTCTCTCCTATATGCTCCATTTATGCTGTGATTTGTAATAAAACACAAGCCCCATTTAACAGGCTCTCAGGTTGAATGTTCCAAAGTGTTTTGCTGACTGAATTGTTCCATTATATTAGATATCAAGTGGCCATTTCTATTTCCTTGTCTATTAACATTTGGAGGAAAGAGACACCTAGCAGAACCTTTTGACTTCTTGCCAATTATAATTTTAGAATTAGCCTCCCCTAATACTCACGTAAGTGTTGTAAACCCTGGGTAGATATCTAATGTGTTATAGTGTGTTTACTACAACAGACTTTTACCTAAAGTTTATTTAAAGTAGCAGATAAGAAAAGCTCTGTGGAAGTATGTGTTAATGTCATATTACAGATCGGATAACATTGTTGTGTTGCATTTAATTTATTCTTCTAGCTGCAAACAGACTTCTCTAGCACTTGGAGAGTGAAATTGGCACCAGTTTTGTCTAAATAAAAAATGGCTGCTCTTAGTGGTTGGGGTAAAAGGGTCTATAAAACTGGCTGGCTGCCCACCCTACAGCTTATCCGCCATGGCGCCAAATCTGTCACACCCCATTGGAAACCAATGCACATTGTGAAGGAAAAGCTCATGGCAGTGACTGAATATATCCCACCAAAACCTCTGACTTCAGAGACCTGTATGAAGCCCCCTGTCATTCTTCCTAAGGAAGAGACTAACTATGAAAGACTCTTATTGCACCAAGTGAAACAAATATTTCTTGAGAGTAAAATGATTGTTGTGTGCCAATACAATTATATTCCTGGAAATGATATGGTAACATTGAGGCATTGGCTGCGAAAGTATAATGTCCATGTCAGATTTTTCCCCAATAAGATCATGAATCCCTTTCTTTTGGAATCTAAGTACAAGAATCTCCTTCCTCTCTTTGTGGAACGCAACCTTCTACTTGTCAGTATGGAAACAAGGGCCCAGGAAACACTACAAATCCTGAAGCGTGTGCCACAGATTAACATGCTAGGAGCTTGCATTGACAATGTGATCCTAAGCAAACAAGGCTTTGTAAATTTTGCTAAGCTGCCATCCATAGTAACTGCCCAGGGGGAAACTGCAGGTTTGTTCTTGGTCATGACATCCCATAGTGGCAGACTTCTACAGCGTGGCTCTGTTCATCTCTGTTCTTTGCTGGACCACTATGTTCAATAGGAAAATGAAAAGGTTGAAGAAAAACCAAATGGGAACATTAACTAAACTGGAAGCAGTTTAATTCTTCGATGTAAAAATTGCCATGTTTACTTTGTTGCATGCCCTTTGGTTGGTGGAAGGGGTTAGTGTGTTTGATAAAGTTCTGGGTATTAAACTATATGCAAATAGTTTAATTGATACCCAGAAATATACTGTCAGAGTTTAGTTATCTGGATGGGGATTATAATTATCAGGATCAACTAAGCTCTGCATTGCAGGTAGAATTAGAAATCAGAGTTATAAAAAAGAAAAAGGTTAAAGTAATATGCTGGATGAGGCAATCTTTTTGGCATGAGCATTTTGAATATGTAAAAAACACAGAAGATAATCTTGTTTGGACAGAAATTACTCGGGATAAATATAGACATTGTATGTATGATGAGAAAAAAAAGTTACCTGATGAACCACCTCGTCTCTCTGGACAAACCAGTCTTACTCATGCTGGCAGGGAGGGCTTACTTTGGATCCCATTGATCAAAAAACACAGATTGTCGGGATCCAGAAAAACAGCCTTCTCTGCTTCAGGGCCCGTCCTTTGGAACCAGAGCCTAGAGTAGCGGTATGGCCAGATAGGCAGCAAAATAATTTAACAAATAATATATAATGTCAGCTTGTTTTTGTTAAAAGTTTGTGCAATCCATTTTGCCATTAAAAACTAGGGAAAACCATAACTTAAATTTTGTTAAAACTGGAATGCTAATATTCCTAATGGATGATAAAAAATTTTTTTTAGGAAATCATTGGTACAATATTATGTTTAGTCTGTCCCTGAGGGTAAAATCTTCCATTCTTCCACATATCTCAGATGTATTTTGGGAGGAATACAATATCAGTACCTTTCTCTATACTATATAAAAACATATATTTCATAAATGTATCTTGTCTCATTCATGCTGTCAGTGTTTTAGTATAGAAGTTTCTTGTTAATAAATGAAGTAACATAAACACAGCATTAGTAGGACTGGCTCATTTGATTGTGTGTGAAGCATTATTTGAGACACTAGATTTTATTTATTTATTTATTTGCCAGGTGGATTTGATATTTGAAATTTCTCTAATGAAAGTTATATGTAAATAATCTTTAGAACATTATTTATTATGTTTATTGGCCTGCCCATCTCGTAACAATATGACTCTGGGTAGCTTATAGCATAAAACATTAAAATCCTAACATAATAAAAAATTAAAATCCTAAAATATTAAAAATAGAAAGCCCAATCCAGAAAAAATATAATTAAAAGATGGGGGGGAGGGAGAGAACAGGAGTGCAGAGGGGAGGTGGGATTGCTTCTCAGTTCATCAACCACCTATAATGTGATGCCCCACCTGTTAGGGCTCCAAGCCATCTGGCAGAGCCAGGGTTTCAGGCCCTTCTCCTGGACCCTGCCGGCCAGAATTCCTTGGCTGAAGGGGCCTGCCAGTGTGGGTGGGATGGGCCAGTCCCAGTGGGATGAGATGGCTCCTCAAGTAACCTGAACACATGCTGTACAGGGCTTTAAAATTAATAACCAACACCTTGAATTTTACCCAGAAGTAGGCTGATAGCCAGCGCAGATTGTGGAGCAGTGGTGTAACCTGGGTCATCCTAGGGGCCCATGCTAGGGCCCTATCCTAGGGGCCCATGCTGCCCATGCCGGCACACTCTGCACCATTTGCTCTAATAGGTTTTCTTAATTTGATACTAACCAAATGGCAGCATGCATGAAAAGAAGGTCAGAGGAACTCTGCTGTAGGGCCATAGCAATAGCACTTAGACTTATGTACTGCTTCCTAGTGCTTTACAGCCTTACAGCAATTCACAGTCAGCCTATCGCTCCCAATAATCTGGCTCCTCATTTTACTGACCTCGGAAGGATGGAAGGCTGAGTCAACCTTGAGCCAGGATAGAATTCCAGGCAGTGAGAAAAGTAAGCATGCAATTTTGCATTCTAACTATCCCATAGATACACTCTACTGCAGGGACAAACTTCTTTTTTAAAAAACAAAAAACAAAAACAACATCTTGGGTGCCTTTAAAAAATTTTGAGGGAATCCTTTTTGGAGGAGCAGTTTTAAAGTTGCAAAATAGTTTTGTTTAAGTCTTTGAATCTTATTGTATAACAGGTAGTCCCCAACTTACAACAGTTCATTTAGTGACCGTTTGAAGTTACAATGGCACTGAAAAAAGTGACTTACACCATTCTTTACACTTACAATTGTTGCAGCATCTCCATGATTACATGATCAAAATTCAGGTGTTTAGCAACTGACTCATGTATGATGGTTGCAGTGTCTTGGGGGGTCATGTGATCACCTTTTGTGATCTTCTGACAAGCAGAGTCAATAGAGAAGCCAGATTTACTTAACAACTGGAGTGATTCACTTAATAACTAGGGCAAGAAAGATTGTAACATGAGGCAAAACTCACTTAACTGTTTCACTTAAAAATTTGGACTCAGTTGTGGCTGTAAGTCGAGGACTATCTGTATACAGTAGAAAATTCAAGGTTTTCTCACAGATAAGCAAAAAAGGCAAATACTAGAGAAAACAGAGATACAAATAGTGAAAAAAGTTAAATATTTAGGTATTCATCTTTCGGCTAAGTGTTCGTCAATAAAAGGAGACAATTATATAAAATTATTGAAGCAAATAAAGCTAGACTTGGAAAGATGGAAAAATCTCCAGCTGTCAATATGAGGAAGAATTGCTACAGTAAAAATGAATGTGGTGCAGAAGATTTTATTTCTATTTCAAACGATTCCGATAAAACTTGAGAGAAAATTTTTTCAAGATTTAAATTAGTTGGTTTTGAATTTTATTTGGCAGGGGGAAAAAGCTAGAATTAAGATGAAAACATTACAAGATGCTAAGGAAAATGGAGATTTTGGGTTGCCGGAATGGACATTGTATTATCAAGCATCTGTGTTAACATGGGTGAAAGAGTGGATAACACTCTGAAATAAAAGGTTATTGTATTTAGATTTATAATTGGGGTGGCATGCTTTCTTATGGTACGGGAAAAACAGAGTCCATAAGTACTTTCAAAATCATTTTACAAGAAATGCCTTGTTAACAGTATGGGAAAAAATTAAAGCTAAAATATATTCAAAAATTCAAGGGTGGTTATCAACGATGGAGGCATTTATACATCCGAACCTGGTAGACTTTGAAAAAATATGGACATATAAAGATATTTTAGATATTGATGGGAAATTAAAATCTAAACAAGAATTGGAAAATCAGGGAATTAACCTGTCCTGGTGGGCACATTTACAGATACAGAGTAGATAGAAAAAGATGTAAAAATGTATGGATTTTACAAGGATCAAACTGTGTTTGATAAGATTTTGTTAACTTCAGATGAGAAATTAATTAAGAAAATGTATAACTTTTTGTTAATTTTAGATATGGAAAGTGAACAAGTGAAAGAAACAATGATAAGATGGGCAAAATTTTTTGGTTTATAATATAGAATTAGAAAAATGGCAAATGTTATGGGAGAGAAACTATAAATTAACAATGTCAACTTCATACAAAGAAAATCTGTATAAAATGTTTTATAGATGGCACCTTCCACCAGCAAGATTAGCAAAAATGTTTAAAAATATGTCAGATAGATGTTGGAAATGTAAACATAACATAGGCACGTATTAACATATTTGATGGACACGTGGGAAGGCAAAGGCCTATTGGAAAAGCATACATACGTAGTTAGAAAAAATATTGGGCGAACAAGTGGATTTTAAACCTAATTTTTTTTTATTAGGCATTATGCCTGAAAAGACTAATAAGAGGAAACTATATTTAATTTTACACATCACTACAGCAGCGAGAATAATTTTTGCACAATACTGGAAGAATGAAGGACTGCCATCAGAGGAAGAAATAATCAGGAAAATATTGGAATGTGCAGAGATGGACAGATTAACTATGAGGTTGAAAGATAAAGAAGATACAGACTATTATCAAATTTGGAATTTATTTTATTCTTGGTTAGAGAAGAGAATGAAGGATTAGGAATTGAACATGTATTAGCATAGCAAACTCCAGACAATTTGTTGATTGGAAAAATTAACATATGTTGATGAAAAAAAAATTAATAATTTTTTTTATAAAAAAAAGAAAAGAAAATTCAAGGTTTTAAAATCTAATTGGGCAGGATTATGTGTTAGGTAGACATCAAAACATTTGGAGCTGTGAATACTTAATGGCTCCCTAGAAGGGGATCACCCAGCAGAATGTGCTCACTGGGGATCAGAGAGAAGATTAACAGTTGATTACTGGATCACATCATGTACTCTTGTAAATTCTCTACATGATTCATGATTAGATCGCGATCACTACCCCAATACTAATTATGACATCCCTCTAGGAATCGGTAAGACCAGAAAAAAATTCATGGCCCAATTCTGGAAAATAACAATACAGAGGTACAAACTAGATGAAATGAAAATCTTGCAAAAACAGTTATTGAATAGCTGGCAGCTCCATAAACTTTAGAAGTGTGTGTACACCTTCTAGACAAAATCATCCCCAAAACTGTACTTAGACTTGTATGACCTGTTAATTTTTAATCTGAAATCTGAAATGTTTAATCTGCTTGAAAGAAAAAAAAGCAACACTCCAGTAACTGGGGTGTAAAAAGCATACAAATGGATTGTGCACTGTGGAAAAGATAGTTTCAAACAGTGTATAGAAAGAGTAAACAATCTTATCCCAAAGGTGCTTTTCTACAAGGCAACTGGGCTTTATTGGTTTTTTTTTTCTTTGAAAACATTTCACCTTTCCTCCCAAAAACTTCTTCAGTTCAGGATTGAAGAAACTTCTTGGATGAGAAGTTCAGAGTCTCAATAGGAAATAAGTATTCCCCTTTTGAGGACTAACTACTTTCCATACGGAATTTAAAGGCTCAAAACAAAGCTCTCTTAAAAAGAAAAGACTGACAAAGAGACCTGGCAGAAATTAATTCAATCAGTCAGGAACAGGGATTTGTTCCTCTTCTTGCAAATTGCCCAAAGATTAGGAAAACTGCTATCCTCTCTCACCCATCAATTATCAGTTCAGACCTGGGAGGAGCATTTGAGAGAGTTGTACATGGACCTTGCTAATAACATAAATAGAGAATCAGAAATCCTAGACAAAATTCAAAATGGTGGAATTGTCCCTGAAACCCACCATCCACCTTTTATAGTTCATCTTTTTCCATTCAAAATGGTCCCCCTATCTCTGTCCAAGAGGTGACCCTTAACTCATTTCTTAAGGTGAAGAAGGCTCCAAATGTTGTATTTTGCCTGAAATAATTCAAAAGAATCCTAGCTGGTGGGCAGTTTTATTATCATAAGACTGGTCATATTTCAAAAGATTGGGTGATGACAATAATAGCCCCAATTATAAAAAGGTAGTAGGAATGATCCATGCAATTATAGACTCATCAGCCTTTTGAGTGTCGTTAGCAAATTATACATGAAATATTTAAATTACAAATATCCTGAACCTCGATAAAGACCAAAGCATAATCCGAGATGACTAGGCAAATTAAAAGACTGGAGGTCCACAATAGACCACATCTTGCACAAAAATGCACTCGTAAAAAGAAATCCTACCTCTCCATGGCCTTTTTAGATTCTAAACATGCCCTTGACTTGATTTCCAGAAATTCCCCTTTTGGAAAAAATAATTTTTAAAAAACCACAACAATGGACACCTTCTTTCCAACACCACCTTTAGAGTGAATACAATCCCCAAAGGTGTCTCTCTGCCACAATGAATATTGTGAAAGCAGTTCAACAAGGATGTATTCTTCCCTTTCTTTTTTCAGTTTGTATATCAGTTCGGTGGTGGATCTTCTACATAATCCAGATCTACATTTTACTTATACTAGCAGGGCACAAATCCCTATATTCGTGTATGATGACGCCACCATAATTTCATAAAACCCTGTAGAGTAAAAAAAAAAGCAATAACAATAATATTATAGTACTGCAGACAAAATAATCCCATTCTTAATTTTGAAAAATAAACATTCTGGTCTTTGCTAAGACAGTCACCCAACAATCCTTGAAAGTGGAAGGGTACAATTTAGAGCAATTTACTCATTAAAATATTTTGGATGGTTTTTTCACTCTAAAGGCAGCTGGAGCGCTCACTAGAATCACACAGTGCAGCTAGCTCTTAGGTCCACAAGTGCTATCAAGTGCTTCTTTTACAAAGCAGAGGCTTGTATTTTTTTGACACCAAACCACTGG